TTTTCTTTTTCTATAAACAACAACAGGATAAATATCCTTGAACAAACACCTTTGTGGACATCTTTATTTGTTTCTAAAAATTCAACTGCTGAGTCACAGATCACACATAGTTTTAAGCTTTTGATACATCATTGCCAACTTGTCCTTCATAAGAGTTGTGTCTGTTTCCCTTCCTCTGTGCAGCGGAGCTCACCCCACACCCACACTCCCCACCGTGGCCCTGGCCGCACCGATGATGGGCACATCTTCCCTGTCCTCCAGCAGACCACGTCTGCTGACTCCTCCATGTGCTCCCACACCTACGTCGCACCACCCCAGGGAATCAATGAAGCAGATGAACTGAAACTGAGATTCAGGGTCCTATTTTCAGCTCCTATGGCAAATTCATGCCTCAGCTTCCCCTGCATGTAAAATGTGGGTCAACACATCCGCCTATTTAAATATAGTCTATAAAACCGAGTGAGGCTATGTATTCCATGAATTAAAATTAAACCAAAATTCTAGACAACTGGTAAAACTTTTGCTTCTTGATCACATGTCAAGTATATTTTTAAAAGTTTCCAAGATCCAATCCTCAGACTCCCAAGAGACCAATTTGGGGCCCCATATCTGCCATTCTACTGCTTCTCTGACTCTGAACCATTTTGGAAACATAGTGCTTGAGTAGCAATGCACAAAAACAAATGCCTTCCCACTTGCGAATAGACTAATGTCTCACTTTCCTACATCACACTAAAAAATAAAAAAGTCACCCAGCTATCAAACGCACCAAGAATCTGTCCTCTGAGGACTGGAGCAAGCTTGTGTGCAGATATAACAGCATACGGGGCTCCCTTGCAAGAATCATCTCTGCTGTTCCTTAAAATGCTAATGAGGTAGGGCCATGACTCCCATAATAGGAATGAGAAGACCGAGGCTCAGGGAAAGTAAGAATTTATCAGAGGAAACACTAAAATTCACATTTTCTGATTTCAAAAGCCTGCTTTCCTTGCCCCTGTTACAGCAAAACACTGTCAAGAAGTCTGGAAAAGACTTGCCCTGAAAGCATCAGTTATCAGTGAAGGTTCTGGAAGGGCCCACCACCTCCTCTCCAGAACAAAAGGACACACTGGGGCTGGGCATAACAATTCACAGGCATCCTTCCCCTCTGGTGTCAGAGCTGTGGACATCCTGCCAGAGGGCCCAAACCCAGATGGCAGGCCCCACTCATAGGAACCTGAGACCTAAGTAGAGTCCCGCAGAGGCACATCTCAGAGAGGTGTGCAGAGAACCCAGCAAAGGAACTGGGACACTCCAGAGGGAGGGAAAACTGGAACAGAGAGGGAGGAAGAGATGCCAGGACATTGAGGCAGCAGCTTTGGGACAACAGCCCTGCAACTGCCATTTGCTGAGCCTGCCAGAAGCTGCGCTCAACACTGTTGACACACTCTCACCTCCCGCCTCTGAAGCCCCAACCAGGTGGGTACCATGATGATCCCATTTTACAGATGAGGAAAGTGAAGTGGAACAGCTAGGAGACTAGCACAACGCTGGGCAGTTAGCATGCCATGGGCAGCTCCGAGCTCCAGACTGGGTGTGGGTTTTTTGGTTTGATTTTATTTATTTATTTATTTTTTTAAGACAGAGTCTTGAGCTGTCACCCTCGGTAGAGTGCCATCGTGTCACAGCTCACAGCAACCTC